CTCGTTCCTTGCAGTGTGCCCATATTTTTTTGCTGTAATGAAAATATTTCATAGTATGTAGGGGATGGACAGAAGAGAGAGAGAGCAAGCCCTTTTCACATTTGGGACCCCAGGGCCCATTCTGAGGAATCTACCACAGAGAATCCCGACCCGAGGCACATCCTTATTCTGGTAGTTCCTGTTGCCATGAGACATGACTTATTTTTCTCTTCCTCTCTTTAATTTTTGCTACTTTCAAGATAGAAGTGTCCTTAGTTTTGTTCTTACTATAAAATATGCACAAGTGCTCCATGATCCTACCCCTCAAGCGCTAGTATAAATTTGAAGATTTTTGTTGTAGTTGTTTTGTTTTACTTTGGTTTTGAAAACCAAGTTGCCCAGACTGACCTTGAACTTGGGATCACAGGCAACCTTCACCAGCTTGAAGTTGTTTTGTAACACTTTTATTTTTTCCTTGTACATGTAAACAGAAAGGGCTATTGGTAAGAAAACTTTCTCTTTCTACAAAAAAAGAAGAAGAAGAAGCAATTCTCCACATATCCTTCCCTAAACTGCTTTTCTTTTAAAATAGATTCCCTGTCAGCACAGATATATCATTCTTCTAACATCTCCATGGTGTCTATTTATTTATCCATCCAATTCCCCTCTTAATGTCCATAAGGTCCATCTGGGGTTTAGTTCAATCCAGTACAATAAATATTAATTTTATGCCATGTTCAAAGGCAGGTAGTCTGCAACCTGTAACATCGCTGGGCAGGCCCTGGCTGTCACTTATGGGCACCAGGAGGGGTCACGGAAAACACCCCGGGCTGAAGAACTGATGGTCAACCTGGATGTGCATCTGAGCCCCACCCCCATCACTTGGGTGACCTCAAATGAGGACTTTGTGCCTCTGAGACACTTTGCAGAGCCTTTGGATAGGTCCAGTGAGCCCACCTGGGTGGAATCACTTGGCTCAGAATGTTCACTGCAGAGTAGGTCCCAGCCACACGTACCTACTTTTTTATTTTGTTCTACTTTTTTTCTGGCTGATTTTTTTCAAACTAAATTATTACATTTAGAGTTAATTAAAAATCAGCCTGATCCAAACTAGCTACCAAAGCATTATGGCAGAGCTGCTGACCACACAGGCTGTGCAGGCAGGCAGGCCTGGACTTGACTCCCAGCGCTAGTTGAGGGCACACCTCAGTTTGCTCGGTCGTCAGATGGGCCTGGTAACAGGAAGCACTTTGTGGGATCATGGTGAAGAGTCATTGCCACCACCGAACTAGCTTCTGTGCCTGTGTTCTTCAGGGAACAGTCTCTCAGTCTCAGAGTGAATCCTAGAAAAGGCAGGAGACTCTAGATAAAAAGACTTTTGAGTGTTGCTTTGAATCTGAATCAGGGAGCCTGAAGCCAAAAGCAATGACATCATCACATCAACTGAGTGTCCAAACCAGGTGGTGACTTCTGTCTTCACAATGACCCCACTGGCTCAGTCAAAAAAAAAAAAAATACTTCTATGACTTGTTCTTTGTCCCTGCTCCCCTAGGCATTGCTTTTCACCAGAAATATTTCAAGAACATTCTAACGGGTGCTCTGATTCCAGCCTCACGTCCACATCTACACACTAGGGCCTGATTGATCAATCCCATCTTCCCCTGCTCCACACTTTCCAGTGGCTCCTCGCTAGGTGTCAAATGACATCCCAGCTGACAGGACTTGTGGGGCTCTCTAGAGCCTTGCCTCAGTTTGTCCTCACTCCTGCATCTGCATCTGGGCCATGGCAGCTGAACCACGCCTTCCCCATCTCCTCCTTGCACTTTGTTTTTTGGTTTTTTTTTTTTAATTGGTTGTTCACAACATTACACAGCTCTTGACATATCATATTTCATACATTAGACTCATGTGGGTTATGAACTCCCATTTTTACCCCAAATACAGATTGCAGCATCACATCGGTTACACATCCACATTTTTACATAATGCCATATTAGTGACTGTTGTATTCTGCTACCTTTCCTATCCTCTACTATCCCCCCTCCCCTCCCCTCCCATCTTCTCTCTCTACCTCATCTACTGTAATTCATTTCTCTCCTTGTTTATTTTCCCGTTCCCTTCACAACCTCTTATATGTAATTTTGTATAACAATGAGGGTCTCCCTTCATTTCCATGCAATTTCCCTTTTCTCTCCCTTTCCCTCCTACCTCATGACTCTGTTTAATGTTAATCTTTTCCTCCTGCTCTTCCTCCCTGCTCTGTTCTTAGTTGCTCTCATTATATCAAAGAAGACATTTGGCATTTGTTTTTTAGGGATTGGCTAGCTTCACTTAGCATAATCTGCTCTGATGCCATCCATTTCCCTGCAAATTCCATGATTTTGTCATTTTTTTTAGTGCAGAGTAATACTCCATTGTGTATAAATGCCACATTTTTTTTATCCATTCATCTATTGAAGGGCATCTGGGTTGGTTCCACAGTCTAGCTATTGTGAATTGTGCTGCTATGAACATCGATGTGGCAGTATCCCTGTAGTATGCTCTTTTAAGGTCTTCAGGGAATAGTGTAAACATGGACGTGAGGCTGTGTGCTCTCTCTTCTGCCAACCACAGGCGCAGCATCTCACCCACCCGGGGATCGCTTCCCTTTATGTGGAGCCTGCCTGCCTCCTCTGCACCTCGCACAGTGGCATGTGTGCTCATAGCTCCACATCCCTGCAGCTCCAGTTCCAATTCCTTCCCACCATAATACCCTCTTTGGCTTCCCTAACTAGGATGAACTTCTTCCTCAAAATCCCCAGGTTTCTTTTCTTTTCTTTCTTTCTTTTTTTTTTTTTTTTTTTGTGGTACTGGGAATTAACCCAGAGGTGCTTACCCACTGAGCCACATCCCCAGGCCTTTTTATGTTTTTATTTAGATCCAGGGTCTCCCTAAGTTGCTTAGGGTGTCACTAAGTTGCTGAGGCTAGCTTGAAGTCGTGATTCTCCTGCCTCAGCCTCTCAAGCCTCTGGGATTACAGGTGTTTGCCACTACACCCGGTGGCTGTGTTTCTTATTTGCTCCATGTCTTATTTCCACTGTTCAAAATGCAAGTGTCCACTCTTACATCTCCCAAAGAGTCTGACCTGTCCGGATCTCTGAGTGGATGCATGCAGCGGGAAGGAGGACAGGGTTCAGTGGTGCAGCCTCAGGCCTCCACCGCGGGGCAGAGGCTGGGCCTCATTCTCCACTGCAGCACATGTCAGGGGAAGGGAAGGGAAGCTGCTGACTTTTGATCCACATGGTTGGAGGAAGCAGGAATTAGAGGCTGATGTGGCTGGTGACTTGGTTTTCAAAGGTGTTGGGGACAGTTCTGCAAATGGGCCCTGAGTTTCAGTCCCATGCTCAGAGACTGTAAAAGACCAGGTGAGCACAGTTCACCCTCATACCCAAGCACCCTCAGCGGGGGCCCCACAGCAACTTTCTGTGCCACTGTACCTCTCTGGGTGCTCACGTGCTCTCCCCACTCCCGTCTCTCTCGTTCATTTAAAACTTCTGAAGGGCAACAATTTAAGAACAAATCAGCAGCCATCAATCAGGGGGTGGGTTGATGCTCCCTTTCTGGAGTAACCAAAGTAGAACATTTGGGATAAACAAGCTCTGGAATTCTTTCCATCTTCCACTGTATCCTGTCCAGAATTATGCTTCAGAGACATTATTACATCCTCCCTCCAGGCATGTTTGCTAATTGATACAAAGAAATGATTTCAACTCTTGTTCCATCCCAAACTGCTCAGTGGGGCCTGAATCTGGCACAGTGAATGGCCGAGCAGGGATTTGGGGACACTCACCCTTGAGAAAGGTTTAGGCTGTGGCCAGATTAGATACAGAGAGTGGTAATAAAGCAGCTTTAGGACTTCTGGGGGGGCATAAGAAAGAACTTTTTGACAGGGAGGATATTAAACAAAGGAACAGACCCACAGCAAGATGAAATCCTACCTCAGAAGAAATGTGGAGATGGATGAGGCGTCAAATGTATTAGACATGTTGAGGGGATTCTCTTGAGATCTGCTGATCCACTTAAACCAGGCATGTCCAAACTCACTTCATCCCCCTTTCATCTGCCAGCCATAGTTACCCAAGGCACAATTCCAGGCAGCTCAAAGAGATGCCCAAATTAGACTCACGCCAGCACCATTTGAAATTGCTCTAGTTTCCTAAGTACTTCAGGTTGGCTCATGCATGCTCACCCAAGAGGCCCCGGATCTGCCAGGGCTTGTCTCACATCTCACAAGCCTGGAGTGGTGTGGTATGTGCATGTGCCTGTGGGCTGGGATATATGTGGTGTGTGTATATATCGTGTATTATCGTGGTACTATATGCATGGGGGCGGATGTGATGTATCTGCATGATATAGAGTATGTGTGTGAGTGTGTGGGTAGATGAGTGTGGTGTGAGGGGTGAGGATGTATTTAGTGTGCATATGTTGTGTGGGGGTGTATGATGGGGAATCACTGTTTATGTGTGAATAGGGAGTGTGTGTGTATGAAATAGGGTATGCATGTGGTGTGGGAGGAGGTGGACGTGTATGTAGTATTGTGTGTGAAGGGTGTGTGTGTGTGTGAGGGGTATATGGTATGTGTGTCTAGGGTGGGGGATATATATGGGGGTGTTGGGGGTCTGGTGTGCACATGTGCACTGAATTGGGTGAGGACAAGGGGCGAGACCCAGCAGGCTGATGGAAGGACTGAATCTACTACACATGTGTATTGAAAACTTAACAAAAGGGCCCCTTTACTGGGTGGCTTCCAGCAGCAGAGGCAGAAGTTCCTAAAACCAACCTCCACAAACAGAGCATGTCACCTTGCAGCCCCTCTGGCCCAAAAGCTCCCACCCTCAAGCCTCCCATTCCTTACCCCTCTGGGCCAGAATCCTATAAACTGTACTCTCCAGGGGCCCCAAGTCCAATCAGCTCAGAAGCCTGGATTTCCCATTCCACCCCACCCCCTCCACCCACGCAGCTGAGGTCACCCAGCCCAGCCTCTTTTGCAACTTTCCCAAGTCTGTGCGCAGAGAGAGAGAAGGAAAACTCAGAGGGAAGAAGCTGGCTAACAAAGTCTTTCAGGTTCCCAAAGCCGTTTAATTCTCTGGCGCAGCTGAGACCTTTGATCCAAGAAGAGACCTCCAGACTCAGAGAGAGCGCCCACCTGCCCCCGGAGGCCAAGTGCTACAGCCTCAGCTGTAAGTGCTCTGGAAACTTGTCTCTATCCTTCTGTCTGTCCAGCAGCCCCCAGAGCTATTTGGGTGTTGAGGGGAGGAGCAGAGGTAGAGGGTACAAGGAGGAGGCCTAGAATCTGGCAGCTGCAGGTTTCGATCCAGCCCAAAGACCCCCATCCTAGGGAAATGACTAGGCGTGGTGGCAAGAAAGGACTTCCCCACCCTCCCGGGGAACTGGGGCCCTGCTGGGGGATATGCAAGGGCCGGCAAGCCTGGCAGCTGCCACAGCTGGCTGAGTCAGTAGAGGGTGGTGCTGTTGCTCCAAACCTGCAGGGCCTGCCGGGAACTGGAGCCCTCCAAGAGGACTGGGTCCTGTCACACCTAGAGACCCCTTGCCACCTGAACAGGGTTCCTTCTGGCATGGAGCTGGGTAGGTCAGAGGATCTCACCAGGGAAAGCTGAGCTCCCAGAAATAGGAAATTATCTCTTGTTCTACATCAGAAACATGCTTCCTGGCAAAGGGTGCACTGCTAGGTAAGCCGATGAACAGAGACAGATCTGAGTCCAGCTTGCCACCAGCCAGTCCTTGACCCAGGAATCCACCGGGGTATCACAGTGTTTTTTAAACTGCAACTGCTGTATAATTGCTAGGCATTATGTATTCATGGAAATAGTTTCATGGGGCCTACTGATCAATCCCCCACCACAAAGGTCCTTATCAATATACTCAGACCTACATTATACTGGTGCATAATAGGGACGCACTACATGTGCTCACTGAGTGGATGGCTGGGTGGCTTGGGGGGTGGATGGAGGACAGATGAATGGAGGGGTGCACACGGAAGCCTCTATATGCTCTATATCAGATGAGTACACCATCTACTTGGGAGATAGGACCAATACATCCAGACAACTTAAAGGACAGAAATGCTGAGCTTCCTGAAACCAGGGCTCTGGGTGCACTTCCCAGAGGGAACAGGTCTGGACCTGCTGGGATTTGGGTGTTTACGACTGAGTTTCATTCCTGGGAGGCAGCAAAGCCTCAGGCTCCCTAGACAGCCTCTTTTCACAGACAGCAAATGTATATATACCATAGCAAATGGCAAGACTGGACATCTGGCCTCTGCAAATCCCTTCCCTTCTTCCAGACTTGACTCCACAATTTTTAGGTGGATATTTGCCATTTTCTGAGGTGTGGGATGGGAGGAGTGGTACTAAAGAGCAGGATAAGAAGCTGAGGAAGAGCACATGCTGGGGGCGGGGACTGCCCCAGGTCCCTGGTCTCCCGGTCAACAGAGGACACCTCACCTAACACCTGAGGCAGGAGACTGCGCCTGGGTTCTGGCTGGGACCAGTGGAGGAGGGAGAGAAGGGCGGTGGGAAGGCGAGAATGGAGAAGTTTTAAAGTTCTTGAAGGACTCTTCCTGGACCCTAGGGCTCAGCAATCACTCAGTCTCTCTTGCTTCGCAGGGACGTAGCCATGCTGTAGCTTGGGCACGTGGGTAGGGCCTGGGCTCAGGCTTGGAAATGCTGCCAGGCAAGAGGGTGAGAAGGGCTGGTCACATTCGGTGGGGAGTAAGTCCTCCCTGTGTGGACCTGGCAAGTCCCACACTCCACGCCTGCTCCTTGCTGTTACTTAACAGGGAGGATGACTCAGCCTGGCCTCTGGGACCCTGTCCTGCTCTGGAGCATCTGAGTCAGCCATATGGGCAGGAAGAAGCTTAAAAGGACAACTATGGCCAACAGCCTAGCCCAATGGCAGAGTAGAGAGGACACGGAAAGGGATCTCAGCCACTGTCTGAAGCCTGTGCTCCCAGGGAGAACCTCGGTGCCTACCCTGAGCCAGTGACAGTCACTCTCTTACAATGAATCAGTCCCCGTCACTCTCCTGTTGCTGCTGCTGATCCTGGACCACAGAACCAGGCTATTTTTAACTAGCAACCTCAGCAAATGTCAGCCCTCGTGGAAGTGGTGTGGGGGAACCTGCAGCGGTGGTACATTTCGAGGGCTCATGGGGGAGGGGCAGGGTGGTGGAGTGGAAGGGGAGCTCATAAGACAAGGCAAGTTACAAGGATGGGTAGGAGAAAAGACGCAAAATAATAATAATAATAATAAAATAAAATAAAACCCAAAGGAAAGACCTCAACTCTACGAAGAGCTGGCACGTGGCAGAGGAATCAAGCCTTTTTTGTGTGGCCCCAGAAGACATCCAACCCTAGCAGAAGCTCCGTGGGACAGGGCTGGCTCTGTGTTTTCTTACATGTGGCTCAAGCACCAGCGGGAGATGGGATTCAATGACCTTTAAGGTCCTTGCTGTGGTGGGCAGGCGCCACACCGGTAGCTTGAAATCAGCCTTGGTGGGCAAATTTATACCGTGGCAAATGGCAAGACTGCACATCTGGCCTCTGCAAATCCCTCTCCTTCTTCCAGTTGTCAAACATTTATCTGGATCTTTCCCAACTTGAGAAGCCTGTTATAAGAATGTGTCACATGCCACCTTCAGAAGAAGCCACAGCCATGAGATGTCTCTGTCTCTTGTTTACCCATGAGGGAACACACTCCCCAAGATTAAGCACCTCAGTCTAGGTCACAGATGTGCGGGGATGGGATGAGAGCTCTGACCCCCAAACTCATGATCACTCCATGGTACCAGGCAGCCTTTCTCCTGCCCCAGCCGTCAGAATGACTCATCCTTTTAGGAAGTCACTCTCAAATGACTTTGGGCTGCCATCAGTTCTTTTTAAAAGAGAGGTTACTTTACCTTATAGTTTTAACTACAGAAAAAAAAACCCAAAGGGAAGACCTCATAATAATGTATTATGTGTTCAGAAATAATTTAGGCTTGTGGGACAAATTTTAAAACCAAACATACATGAAATATAAAATAAAATGATGGCTCTTAGCATCTAATCTACCTTTCTCCAGCCCTCTTATTAATCATGTGGTGTGTCTTTCCATAACATTCCATGTTTACAGGATAAACATTTGTGCAATGTTAAACATACAGTCACACATAAAGGTTGCTGTTTTTGTATAATTGCAATCAAATTATACAAAATCTTCATTTTTTTCCTACTAAAATAACCATGTGTATCTTTCCACTTTATCACTTCATCTTTTTAAAACTGCCTGGCATTCCAAAGCATGAATGGATTTGAATTTATGTGGAAAGGCTCTCTTTATGGACATTTAGATTACAACTCAGGGGCACCAAGGGCAAGGTGTATACTTCTCATTCTAGTTTTGCGGCTGGACAGTAGAATCTCCCAGTCAAGGGCAAAGTCTCTAGCAGGGTGCTGTGGGACACACACCTGTAATCCCAGCAACTCAGGAAGCTGAAACTCAGGAGGCTGAATCAGGAGGACCAGGAGTTTGAGGCCAGCCTGGGCAACTTAGTGAGACTCTGTCTAAAGGAAGGGAAGGGGAGAGAAAAGAGGCAGGGCAAGGCGTGGTATCTGGAACTAGACGTGGATTCAAATCCCAGCTCCAGATCCAGGCTCTGCTCTGTAGGCTATATGTCTCCAGGCATGAGCTGTTTAAGTTCTATAAAGTCTGCTTCTTCAGTAAGGATGAAAAAGAGATGGTAAAATACAGATGATAATAATAATGTCAATCTGACAGGCTGGTTTTGCAGCAGATAAAACAGCTAACAATTTCTTGAGCCCTTCGTTTGTTCCACTAAAGGTATCATAATAATATATTATGTGTTCAATGTATTATAATGATGAATTCATTCATTTTACCCTCACACAATATGCATATTGCTTATTTGCATATTCTTAGAGCTCTCAGCTGTCAGTAACCATTAGCCTGTAGTATGAGACATACTCGGGCAACATGCATGACTCTTACAGTGTCCCCGCGGCCTCAGCATGATGAGCTTGCATCCCAGTGGTAGGTCCTATTCTGCAGTCTCAGTTCCCTTTCTGCCCTCTGTGCTTCTTTGTCATTTTGGCTCCCTCTGTCTCCTCTTGTTCTCCTGGGGTTTTGTGGAGGTCACCAAACCTGAGCCCAGTGCTCCGGATTCCTGTGAACACAGATTCCATGAGTTTGAACTCAGAGGATCTGAAGGCAACAGAGTGTTAAAAACTCCTCCTCTGGCCTTTGACCGGAACATGAACTCATCTGTTTACTACCTTGGGGCCTTGGATGAGTGACAAGGCCTCACTTCTTGGAGTGAGGAACTCCTGCATCCGTGGAGCTCCTCAGAGAGCCCTCTGCAAGTGCTCAGCCTCTGCCACTTCTTTCACCCCTTCTTCCTTCCTCCCTTTGGTTCTGACTCCCTTTCCTAAGGCATCGCATTGGTGTTCCAAGCTGAATTGGCATGCTGTCCCCTTCCAAAGTGGCCATGGATGCTTACAGATCTGCGCCTTTTAGGAGCTTCTGAGTCACCCTCTCCTTTGGCTGGTTTCCCTTGTGAGCAGTGACACCATTGCAAAATGCCAGCCAGGGTTCATTCCCTTCCCCTTCAGGTCAGAAGGATAGGAAATATTTACTGAATGAATGAATGAATAAGTGTGGCCGACGCCCGGCCCATCTTGCTTCCTCTCCAGGCTTCCTCCCTCTCCCTGAAGCAAATCAGCACTGTCTCTGTTCAACCTTCCCAGGGTTTGGCCTACTCCGTCATCCCCTCCCCAGGAAGACAGCGCCCCCAACCACATGCCTCATTTCTTCGGGGCCTGGTTCGATTGAGTTTCCACCATACTTTCCCTGTGTCTCTTGGGAACTGTAACTTTCTCCTGTGTCCCTTGGCCCTGTACCTTCTAACCTAGTGTCTCCCTGCAGAGGTGTCCTGCGTGCTCCATCTTGTGCTGCTCCCAGGGTCTAGCACGGGACTCTGTTAAATGTTCTCATCACAGGAAAACGGCAGTGCCTGTGTTCGTTAGTTGGAGTTAGCCATTTCATAATGCGTTCACGTTGCTTTTCAAAACAACAAGTTGAGGGGTGGGGGCATAGCTCAGGAGTAGAGCACTCGCCTAGCATTTGCAAGACTCCAGCTCTAATCCTCAGTACTTCAATAGAAAGGGAAAAAAAGAGGATGTTTTACTAATTCAACTTTAATATCAGTTTATACGATTTGGAGTGATGTTATATGTATAGCTTAGCATCTTCTGCTTTCCGTTTAGAATCTAGGACATAGCATTTTCTCTAAGATGCTCAAAACTCTATTTTAATGACAGCTTATTAGTTCATGGTGTGCTGTGATTTAACTACTTCTTTATCATTAAATGTGTAGAACACCATGGAGAACACTCTTGAACTAGGGTCTCTGCTCACGTTTCTGGCTACTTCCTTAGAACAGATTCCTAGAAGTGGAGGTCTTCTGGGACGTTTTTAAGGCTTTCAATGCTTGTTGCCAAGTAGCTTTCCAGTAACATCTCCCAACCTCACCCCCCACCAGCTGCAGTAGAGAAGAGCCTTTTGATTCTGCCATTGCAGCCTCACCTCGGGCTTGGGAAGGGATGGTCTTCCATTCAAAGCCTCTGAGCAGTGCTGACAATGGACCCCTTGTCCTGCCCACCCCATCTCCTCTTCCCACAGTGCCCTCCATCGCTGGCTCCAGGCTTGACTGTCTGTGAGGCCTCTGTTCACCCCTGTCCTGCCTTCTTGGTACTCTAAGCTGCCTCTCGGAGCAGGGTTGCCTTCCTCCTTCCAGGGTGAGGGATTTGTCTCTCCTGGGGGTTCACAGCCCCTCCAGCCTTGTGGGGAGGCCCTCAGGGAAATGAGGGGGGAAGGTGTAAGGGTTCCTAACTCATATGCCTGATTCAGAGAACAGCCCTGCCTCTGCCCTGGGCCCAGAGCAGAGATCTGCACACTGAAAAGGGGAGAGGAAAGCAGAGACCAGCCTCTGTGTCGGTGGCCTCAGGAGACATTGGCCAGCATGTAGATGACCTCTGACCTCTTTCCTACAGGTTCTGAAGCCACTTCATGAATCCTCGGAAGAAGGTGGACTTGAAGCTCATCATTGTCGGAGCACTTGGGTAAGCCAAGCTGAGCTCGGGGTCTGGGATTCTGGAAGCAGCCTTGCCAGGGCAGTGGGGCCTCTGTGATGTGCTCCCACCCCACACCCAGGGTCCCTGGGGGTGGGTGACAGAGAAGTGCACCCACCTCAAGGAAGGAGTTAGGAGAAAAATCTGGCAGTAAATGATGGGTTTGGTCCCAGCACTACAGTAACCAGCTTCAAGAATCTGGCAAGACATTCAGCAATTGCCCTCCCACCACCTGCCACACCCAGAAAGGACCTGCCTGTTGCTATGGGAATTTTCAGCTCTTTCCAGATCTCTCTGCTTCCTTTGTTTGGTTTCTACTTCTAGAAACCATTCTCCAGTCTCTTGTTCCTCCAAGGGTGGTCCCTGAACCACAGATGATAGAAATCCAGAATCTCAGGGAGAGATAGCATCATCAGGGGGATGGTACGTCTCTGAGAATGGCATTGGGTGGGTGTGTGTGTGTGTTGGTAGGTGTGTGCTCACATGTGTTGGGCTTTTCCACAGAGTGGGAAAGACCTCCCTCCTTCACCAATATGTCCACAAGACATTTTATGAGGAATACCAGACCACGCTGGGGGCCAGCATCCTCTCCAAGATCATCATGCTGGATGACACAACTTTGAAGCTGCAGGTGAGCAATCAATACTCTCTTTCCCTCTTCAACGTGTATACACCTGAAAATCGCCAACACTCCCTGCACAGCCAAGTGTAGTCAAGTGGGCTCAGAGTTAGAGTGACCTGGAGCAGAGACAGCTAACTTCAACCCATGGGACAAATCTGGTCTCTTTATGGGCACACAGCCACATGCATTTGTTTACTTACTGTCTTTTCTTACTACAATGACAGTGAGTAATTGCAACAGAGAGAGAGTGGCCGGCAGAGCCTAAAATACTGTCTGGCTCTTTGCAGACAAAGAAAAAAAAAAAGATTCTGGTGCCTAATCTAGAAGGAAGAGGACTAATTCAATTCTTAGGAGACCTTATGCCTTCTTTCTAAATTTCCCTGGAAAAATTGGTGGTGGCCTTGGGCCAGTCCCTCCTAAAGTCCATGTTTCTAAGTCCAATGCCTGGCCTGCTGACCCACAGGCAAAATGAGAGGTCAGATGTGAAAGTCCTCCCAGGAGTTAAATGTTTTTGCAAAGGTGTTGTAATGTGCGAGGGCGAGAAGCTCAGGTCACCTGTGTGTGAAAGGCCCCTACACACCTGAACGTACACTGGGGCTTTCCTCTCTGCCCAGAAAAGGAAGGTTTGGCATGAGGTAACCTGACTGTACCTCCCTCCAGCCACTCACCACAGCCCCACGGGGCGCTGCTCTTCCCTTCTAGATCTGGGACACAGGCGGTCAGGAGCGGTTCCGCTCCATGGTGTCCACCTTCTATAAAGGCTCTGATGGCTGTATCCTGGCTTTTGATGTCACCGACCTGGAGTCCTTTGAAGCCCTGGATATCTGGCGGGGTGATGTTCTGGCCAAGATTATCCCTATGGAGCAGTCCTACCCCATGGTGGTGCTGGGGAACAAAATTGACCTGGAAGACAGGAAGGTATTGTTCATTCATTCATTCAACAAATTTTATGTCAGCACCCAACGCGTCCAACACACGCAGAGCTGAATCAGGCGCAGTCCCTACTTCAAGAATTCCATGGTTTAGTAGTGAATACAGACCCTTTAAAAAACAGTTATTGATGGTAAATGCAATTATAGAGATACACCTTGGAGAAATGGAGAGGCCAAAGAAGGGGCATCTGTCTAAGTCCAGAATAGAGGACAGGCTTCTTAGAAGATGTGGGTTCCAGGATGAAGACACAGCATGGTGTGAACTGAGAACTGCAGATGATCCTGTCTAGACACAGGGAGTCAAGGGCTGAAGTCCTCAGATGTAATGGGAGTCTCAATGGAAATAGAATTAACCTGTAGAATAGCATTTCTGCCACTGTCAAGTAGGGGGTCTGCAGTTACAAATTCTTGGATCTGTAAGTTTTCAGGAAAAGTAACAACTTTTTAATTATCATAGGAACATTTAACATCATGACTAACCATTTGACAGCTGGTCTGCTTTATGATCACAGTGGCCCTGAGAGTAGGTATTGACCATCATGGGGCCATTGAGTAGAGAGCTCTTTTAATCCTTGCCTGCTCATGAAAAAAGAATAAAAGTAGCCTTAATTTGTTAAAGATGCTCTGCACCAATCCAAGTCCCAATGACACCCAAAAGACCTGTTTGAGCTGGGCTCAGTGGTGCACACTTGTAATCCTAGCAATTCGGGAGGCTGAGACAGCAGGATCGTGAGTTTAAAGCCAGCCTCAGCAACTTAGCGAGTCCCTAAGCAACTTAGTAAGACTCTGTCTCTAAACAAAATATAAAAAGGGCTGGGTATGTGGCTCAGTGGTTAAGGGCCCCTGAATTCCATCCCCAATACCCCCACCCTCCCCCCTCCAAAAAAAAAGCTATTTGAAATAAGTTTTCTTGGTGTTTCAAACAGAGAAAGGTAGTGAGGAAGTGAATCATCGTGTTGGAACCGTTTTCACAATGGCTCAGAGAGAAAAGTGATAGGAGGTCAGAGGCATCACTTGGCACGATGAAGTATGTTGATGGATGGAAGGAGGCAGGAGGCAGAAGACGGTGCTTCTTCCAACGGAACCGCCACACGTACGGGGGAATCTCTGGTGCCAGAGGCAGGCATGTTGGGTTTGGACGTGGAGAACAGCCCCAGGCAGCTGGGGAGGACAAGCAGGCTTTGGAAGACATAAGAATGAAAGCTCTAAAGGGAAGTCCATGCTGGGAACAGCTAGCGAGAAGGCGTCAGCTCTGTGTCACTTCACGTTGGAAACCCAGTGTCAGTTCTCTCATCACAAATATCCAGTCTCTGACTAACAAAGCCCTAAGTTCATGCAGAGGCAAGATGCTCCCTTTCTTTGTCCCCACTGGGACAGCTGCAGGGGAGAGTCTCATGGCCAACCTTACGCCTCAACACCCCACCCCTTAGCTGAGATCACAGGTGTCGGACCCTGTGTGGTCGGGAGAGCAGGGCAGGTCTTATCTGACGGGTATTGTCACCAGAGGGTTCGTGATGGTGGCAAGCTTTCTTCTGTGGGTCACTCCTTTGGGTCCTTAAGAAGCCTTCTCCAGGAATATTTCACTGTCCCTTCTCAACTCCTGACTTTTCAGCCATCTCCCAAGCCACTGGGGTCACCTCCTCCCTCAAATAGTCCTCTTGGTAGCTCCAACCTGGCTGTCCCTTTGTAGAGCCACTCCTCAAGGCACAGGGTGACTCTGGCTCCGTGGCAGGGACTTTGATTTCCCTCCACCCCGTCACCTTCTACCTCAGATACAGTCCACTATGTCCACCAAACTCCAGGGTCCGTGTTGTGGGAGGCAGGGGTAGTTGCATGCACAACGCAACTTTCTCCAAAAGAAACCTTTCTAATCCTCCTCTTCAATGTCCGTTCCATGAGCGTTCAGGTCAACGAAGAGACCCTTGGTCATGAGTTTTTGGAAATGTGTGTGTTCCCCGGGGTGGTCTGCCTTCCAACTCACTTCTCGTCTGATGTCTATCAAGCCGTCATGCCACCCCACAAACATCCATTTTAACATTTTGTTTCATGTGTCTGTGAGTCTTAAGGTTCAAGGTCCAGGGAGTTCAAGGCTGAGAGTCTGACTTTTTCTCAGTGAAGTAAGAGGTGCCACCTTTTGATGAGAGGAAGGAAACCAAGTAAGAGCCTTAGGAAATCATAGAGCTTAGCTTGAACAGTTGTCCCTAAAAGAAATGAGAGGAGGAGCCCATCAAGGTCAAGGACAAGAACAGATGTGAGTGCTCGCCAAGCAGGAGACCGTGAACTTGAAGTGGAATCTCTGGTGTGTTCTTTCTCAACAGCCCAGCCTGGGGTAAATGCCAGGAAGAAGGGACCTGAGACTGAGGCTTCTCCAAGCAAGAGCAGTCAAAGGGTAGAGATGACAGGGCTCTGAGAAGCCACGAGAGAAAGGAGAGGGACAAGGGGAGGGTTGAGGGCTGGGGACCAGAGGCTGGAGACCAGGGCAGCGGAGAGGGCACACAGGAGTTGAAAGGAGACTATGGTCATGGAAGAATGGGAGGCCAGATTTGATATTTACAGAGGCCTAGGGTCTGGTTCTGGGAAGAAGAGGCTGAAGTGGAGATTGCTGGGGAGAAGGAATCCGTTTTGATTTCCTATGGCTCTTACTTGGTTTCCTTCTCCTCGGGGTAGAACAAGCTGCAGCAGATCCCACGAGTTCAGGGAATGAGGGGTACCTGGCAGGAGAGGAAGCCAGGTGCAGCTCACAGGGGAGAGGGGTGAGCTTGCAGAAAGAGGAAGAAGAAAGGATTAAAAGAAGCCACGAGGCACCAGGCAAGCCAATCCCCTCTTCAGCATCCATGGTCAAGAGTGCTATGGGTCTAGCCTCATTGGAGACAGCAAGAGGGGGAGCAGCAGCCCCCCAAAAACCCAGGCCAGCCAAGACAGGGAGGCGAAGTGAGGGTGCTGGAGTCCAGAGTCCACCAACTGGGCCAGGGGAAGGGTCTGGATGGAGGTGATGGAGCAGACACTGGAGGTGAGGAAGTGCTCATCGATAATGAAGTGACAATAGGGAAGTGGAGAGGAGGGAGTGGGTGGGGGAGAGCAGAGGGACTTTACCCAGAGACCCAGGAGGAGAGGCTGGGAGCCCTGCCAGGAGCCTGCCAGTCCCTGGCCAGGTGTGAGGAAGTGATGAGGACCAGCTGAGAGGGAGATACCTGGGAGGCACATGGTGGCTTAGAGCTCGGCTAGCCACACTCCATGCCCATCCCCGGCCCCTACCAGCTTCTTCCTCTGTGGAGTAGAGGCCAGAATATGAATTCCCTGAGGCAATTTGAGAATTAAAGAAAGTGCTGTGATTATTATCCTCCTTATTATCTCTGAGGGGCAAGTTGGAAAACACAGCATCTTTTCCTACTTAATAAAAA